ACTACAGGCCCGTAAAACGACGCAAAGAGGGTTAGTAAACCACTGGCCTTGTCTCGCAGTTTCTTCCCAGCCCAGGCCATGCCTTTAGAAGTGGGAGACAGCCTCTTTACCAGCTTGTGTTGTCTGCATGGCCCCCTCACACGCACCCCTGTTTCCAGAAGGTGCTGTCTCGGTGGAGCCATTTATTTCCCAGCATGGCACTGTCTGCTGCGGGGAGCACGAGCCGGCCAGAAAGGAAGCCTGTGCTGTTACTGCCCCCACCCCATGTGTAGCCCTGGCCCAGGAACCCAGGCCCGACCAAGTGTCCACACTGGGGATCTGAGAGCAGGCGGGGGCTGGACCAGAACCCTGGGCTCTGGGCACACGGCCGGCCCGAGGAAAATGTCCCCCGGTGCTCCCCTGCGTCCTTTCCTGCATGCTAGACGTCTCGCCCCGGCCACATCAGATCCGCTGTGTCACCTCCTTCACCCCGGCCCTCCTCCCTGGGGGCTCTCCTGTCCTCTAAGTGTCAGAACACGGAGGCAGATAGCGTGTGCCATACCCCACAGCGTGCCAGACCCCAGGCGGACCTCCTCAGCTCCCTTCTGACCGCCTCTCACGTCGGTATTTCCTCTTCACGTGACGGCTGAGGAGACTGAGGCTGGGAGCTGAAGCCCCGTGCCCAGGCTGGACTTTGTCCATCTGCCTTCCTGCAATGCCCGTGCCCCTCCCCGGGCTCCGCACGGCTTCACGGACATGGGCCGACGGTCTGTGCAGGGATCTAGCAAGCTGCTTCTAGAAGGAACACGGGCCTGCTGTCTTGCTTAGATATGCACGGTCCTCTCGAGCAACTCCTCGGCTCTACCTGGACCCCCTGCAGACATTCAGCACAGACAAAGCGCTATGAACTCGCTCCTTCCAGAACCTACAGAAACGCCTGGGTCAAAGAGGAGCCAGAGAACCAGCCCCGCAGCAGAGCGGTGGTTCTGCCCCCAGGGCCTGGGAAAGACAGCTTCAGAGCCTGTTTCTTTGCTCCGGGAAGAATTGGAAACTTACGTCAAGGCCTGGATCACAGACTTGCGGGAAGCGGGCGCCGACAGCGCCGGCAGATGGAGCTACTGAGGACAGGAGGAAGGGCCTCGCCAAGGGCTCCAGGCAGCCAGGCCCCGAATGATTTACGGTGAACCCAGTTCCCTACGGACCCAGCCTCCAAGTCACATGGACCAGAGGAATGGTTTGAGACCATCCCAAGAAATTCTTGAGCAGCTCAAGAGACACGGGAACCATCGCCCATTCCCATGTTTTCAACAACAAACAAGAATCGCTAACCCCGAGCCAGCCCCCAAGGCTCGCTCCCCGCCCCCGGGCCTGGCCAGTGGCCCCTGCACAGCGTGTGTGCAGCGGAGCCCCTGACTCTGCCCCCAGGGAGAGCGGGCCTGGCTGGCATGGGCCGTGGCTCACTGTTTGGGCTGTGCACTAAGCCTTGTCTTCATTTGTGGCCATGATGTCACCTGTCATCGTTGTCCTCTGTGGCTGGCAAGAATATCCAACTTGAGTTGAAATTTACTGTCTGTTCCTTTTATTCTTTTGTCCTCTTCCTTCCCCCCCACCCCCTTGCTCTCATATTTTCTTTGAATTGCCAGAAGGAGCATATGTTCATCAGAGAGATGGGGGGGCACCCTCTGGGGCGTGGTCACCCTGCAATCACTTCTCCTTTCTCCATCTTGTTGGGATCTGGGGATCCTGGCACCCAACATGTCTTTCAGGCCCCTGGGACCGGGATTTGAACTACAGTTGGCTGTGTGGGATCCAGCTCTCTTAATCGCTAGGCCACAGGGCTGGTCTGTCTCTGTCTCTCTCTCATAATTAAAAATTCCATTTAACTCTCCTGTTTATGTTGGCAAATGCTGTTGGCTTCCTACCCTAAATTCTGCACCCCCCCTTTCCTGGAAAGCCTGGCTTCCCCCACTCCCCTGGCTTTTTGGTTCAAGTGTCCACTTTTCGGCCATGTGACTGAGAAATGGTGGCCTTTTTCCTCCTGAAAGGAAACCCTGAGGGCGAGGTTACCCTGTGTGTCCTGTCCCCCTCGCCGTGATTAGCTGGGAATGAGCCTTTAGTGCCACCAGCCAATGGGACATGAAGAAGCATGTGCTAGCATGTCTCCAAAGAGACCCCGAGGGACACAGGCAGAGGACTTCCACCACCTGGTCCAAAGCAGCAGAGAGGACTCCAGACACGACCCGTGAACCTTCCCATGGGGGTCAGCCTCACAAGCACTGCACCGCCCACCGCACCGCCATGCAGTGCCCTCAATGACGTCACGTCTCTGCAGGCCCCATAGAGCTGTGCAGCCGTGTCGAACCCCCAGCCGGCCTGTCCGGAGAGCGGAGAGGACAGCGCTGGGGCTGCCCTCGGCGTGGCTTTCTCGCTGCGTGGGACGATGGGTTCTCTTCTTACTCAGGCAAAAGGCCCTGCGTTCTCTGTGGCTTGCAGCCAAAGCCCCCTCGTGGAGACAGGCCTGTCTTTTTGCTTTCCCCTCATGTGGCGTGCGGTTTTACATCACCATTTCTATTTGGCCATAAACAGAATCTACGCCGCCCTCCTCGTGGCGTTTAAGGGGCTGCCGGGCGAGTTCTACACCTAACTTTCCCTGCGTGTGGGTCTGGAGTGCGACCTCGGGGGTGCTGAGACTCCCTGAGGGAAGGCCTGTGGTCGCCCACCGCGGAAAGTGACTCATGAGAAATCGAATGCAAGGGAGACACCACACTTGACCCACTCGGTCCTAGCCAAGCCCAGCCGCAGGGTCCAGCACACAGTAGGAGCACAGTGAGCAAGCGCTGTGTGAATGGCTGGGTGGGGCGAGAGCAGCCCACGGCCCAGCCACGGCGCACGGCGGTAAGGTGCTACCGTGTGATGCCGGCCATATGGGAAGGCCCAGGGTTTGGAGCCCAGTGGACCTGAACGCTCCCACACGCCTGTGGGCATGCCCACGACCCTGGCTGGCCTGAAGGCTGCAGAGAGGTTCGCGGCATGGCGAGACCCTGTCAGGGATGTGTCTTGGAAGGAGAGAAGAGAGGGAGGGGAGGGGAGGGGAGGGGGGAAATCTTTAAAAAATAAAAATAGGAGCTGGCAGGTGGCGCACTGGTTAAGGTGCTGGACTACCACACGTCCAACCATGGTTCGAGTCCCAGACCCGGTGGCTTGCTTTCTCACTTTCCCTTTCTCTCTCTCCGTCTCTCCATCCAAATTAATACTATTAATAATAACAAAATTTTAAAAGTGAATAATTCTTTTAAAAAATAATAAAATAAAAGTGAATAAGTAAGATGGAGGAAAGCCCAGCCCTCTCATGTACTGTCTCACAACCCCGCAAGCTTGATGGGTCCGATAAAACACAACACGCAGTCCCTGGTTCCTTTAAAGCTCCCCTAATTCCCACGCTCTCGTTGTCTGGGTTTCCACAGGTGTTTGGAGAACATGGTCAGAATTGGCCAGTCCCTGTGTTGGGGACATGGCCGTTAAAGATGGCAAATCTGAAAGGCCCGACCTGCCCTTCTGTCACAGCCATGCCACAGCCTAAACGGCCACCTCAGCACCAGTTCCTCCGTGGAAGCACCGAAAACAGACAGGCTGGCTCCAGAGGCCCCGGGAGGCTGCCTTGGGCTCAGACAGGACGTTGGCACACCGGCTCCAATCGGAGGACTATTCGGCAGGTAAGCGGAAGGTGCGGGGACAGAAACCCTCAAAGTCCTCGGAGGCCAGGCCCAAAGGGCGGGGCGAGGGGAAAGCCAGACGGGCAGGCGCTGCAGAGGGTGGGAGGCGAGTCCTTGGCAAAGCAAGCGCCGAATTGCCATGTGACCCAGCAACCCCGCTCCCAGGTGTGTGCCCCAAGGAGTGGAAAACACATTCCAAACCTGTGCCCCAGCATCACAGCGGCCCTGCCCGTCACAGCGGGGCGGCCCCGTGTCCACCAGCAATGAGTGGGGAAGCAAGGGGTGACCTGTCCACACACTGGACTAGAGACCAAGTTCTGTACTGAATGTAAAATACATAAATAAATAAATAAAATTTAAAAATAAAAGAGGGACCAAGTCCTAATACAGGTACAACATGGAGGGACCTTAAAACATGCTGTGTGGGGGCTGGCGGGTGGTGTGGTGGTTAAGGGCGCTGGACTCCCGCATGGCTGACTGCGGTTTGAGTCCCAGACCTGGCGGCCTGCCTTCTCACTTTCTCTCTCTCACTCTGTCTCTCTCTGGTCAAATTGGAATAAATAAATAAATGAGTAAATAACTAAAGTTCAATAAAATAATTCTTTAAAAAAGTGCTGTGAATGGCTAGCGGGTGGCGTGGTGGTTAAGGTATGGGCTCCCCCATGGTTGACCACAGCAAGTCCCAGACCTGGCAGGTCTCTCTCTCTCTCTCTCTCTCTCTCTCTCTCATCAAATTAAACAAGCGAACAACACATGCTGCATGCGAGAGCCGGGCACCAAAGGTCACACGCGTTATGACTCCGTAGGACAGGATCTGGGCACTCGGAGCATGGGAGTCCACAGACAGGAAGCAGTCATGGCCGCCCAGGGCCGGGGCGGGGGCAGGGGTGGGTTAGGGTGTGGCGCTCCTGTCAGAATGTTCTGGAACTAGACAGCAGGGATGGTGGCACAGCACTGAAGGTGCTGTGACGTTAAATGATTAAAGGCTGGACGTTAGTCCTGCGTAGTTCCCGTGATGATATCCTTAAAAGAGCAAGGCTTGGCTGTCTGGGAGGGGATCTCAGCTAACCGGGGGGCTGGGCGAGCCAGATAGGGCCTCCCTCTGCCACTGAGAGGCTGAGCCCTGGCCCCCCCCCGGGGGGGCGCAAATTCTGGGCCCAGGCCATCCTCTCACCACCCAGACCCCTCCTCACTGGCCTCTTTAAGCACCTGCTAATCCAATTTACCTTCAGAAAGTCTCCAGGGAAGAGCTCATCACCAAGACATGTCAATCAAGGAGACAGACCCACCCTGCCCTAAGCCCTGACAGCTGACCTCTGATGAAAGCAGGGAATTGCAGAGGGAGTCAGATTACAGCTGAACAGTGCCTGGGCTGCTTCCCAAGAACC